CAGTTTTCAAAAGTGCTTGAAAAGTTGTTTGTTCAAAAACTAGATAATTTCATTGAAAAAAATAAAATATTAAGTGAGAGTCAATATGGTTTTCGGACAAATCGCTCTACTGCTCTGGCAGTAATGGAAATAATAAGAAGAAATCACAACAGCAATTGACAGAAGGAAATATACAATAGGGGTATTCATTGACCTAAAGAAGGCATTTGATACAATAGATCATTCCATTTTAATTGCTAAGTTGAATACTTACGGTGTGAGAGGAATTGTTCTTAATTGGTTAACTAGCTATTTACATAATAGAAAACAATTTGTGTATTTTGCTGGTAATGCATCTGAATGTTTGAAAATTGAATGTGGGGTCCCTCAAGGTTCAGTTTTGGGGCTGAAACTTTTTATTTTGTATATCAATGACATTTGTGAAGTTTCTAAGTTGTTACAGTTCATTTTGTTTGCAGATGACACTAATTTCTTTTGTTCAGGAGATAATTTAAAAACATTATCTGAAAGCATTGAAAGTGAAATGGTGAAACTTAAAATTTGGTTTGATGTAAATAAGTTATCATTAAATGTGATAAAAACTAAGTTCATGGTTTTTGCTAAAAGAAGTAAAGACGAAATTTCATTGTCCATTGATGGACTTAATATTGAGAAGGTATCAGAGTTTAATTTTTTGGGAATCACAGTGGATGAAAATATGACATGGAAATCCCATGTATCATATGTTAAAAAAAACTGTCAAAGAATATTTTTATTTTGAACAAAGTCAAGGATGTTTTAGACTGCAAAACAATGAGAATGTTGTACTGTTCACTTATACTGCCTTATCTGAGTTATTGTGCAGAAGTGTGGGGTAATACATATATAAGTAATATAAAACCTTTGTTCATATTGCAGAAAAGAGCAATCAGAATTATCCACAAAGTTAAATTTAGAGAACATACCAATAGTTTATTTATTAAATCAGGCTTATTGAAGCTTACAGAGATAATAGAACTCCAGACATTACTAATTATGTTCAAAGTCAAAAACAGAGTTTTACCAGAAAACCTACAAAAGCTCTTTGTGTTCACTTCAGAAGATGAAAGTCATAGAAGAAGATTTGATTTTAAGCACCAAGTTGCTCGGACTACTTTAAAACAAATATGTATTTTGGTTGTTGGTGTAAAAATATGGAATTCCCAACTACAGGATTTGAAAGGTTGTACAGATACTCATCAATTTAAAAAAATGTACAAATGCAAAAAAAATTGTCAATATGCACTTGAAATTTAAACTGGATGTTAATGATCAATTGATTTGAGCTGGTAAAAATGTACTTGTATGGGATATTTATTTATTTAATTTATTCCTTTGTATTTGTTTTGATTAATTGTTTTTGTTGTTATTATCAAAGTGTTGTTGGTGTTGGCTATTGAAAATCAACTGTATGTGATGTCAGACCATCTTTTCTTTTATTATTAATTGTTCAAGCAGGGGGCAGGCACATATAAGAATCTTTTTTCTTCTCGCAATCATGGAGGTGTTGATTTGAAAATGTAGAGTGCATGTGCAAATTCTGTTGTCCACTTTCATGTGAGGAACAAACAAATAAAATAAAAATAAAAATAAAAAGCCTATTGACAGCTAATGCGCTCTGGCTGCAGATGTATACTAAGCATTGATCCGCTCTTGCGGCACGTCTACAGAAAGTATTTTGTTAGAGACAAACCATCCATCTGACTGTCATCTCACCTGTACTAACGTTTTGCCTAGCCTTGACCAGTGAATTCATCAGCTTTTAACAATTGGCCAACAACAGAAACTGAGGCTTATGTCACAACGCTACTTTTACAGGTCACGGGAGGCACAGGTTCACGGTGCCATGCTGAAACCCCTGATATAACATGAAACCCCCCCAAAACCTAAGTCTTTTTGCTTTCAAAATGCAGCAATAAATTGTATAAAAACGAAAAGGACTCATCTGGTTAGTTTAACTCAACAACTTTAGTGTAATTAAATTAAATCAAACTCAAATTAACATGCGTCTGGCTCGGACGATTCACTCAATTAACACAGCGCGTCACGCCGATACAGAAAACAAATAACCCCCACTGTGCATTTACTGCTTGTTTATTAATTCCAGTCACGTTTTATGTATGTGAGATCCTGCTTGTGTGTGCGAGCACCTTGAATATCATATGTGAGGCTATTTCATAACTAAAATGGTGGTGAAAATATTTAACTTTGCTAGACGGCATTTCTCTGAGCCATTCGTTAAAAGGAAATCATTTATTTCCTGTGGAAAGAAGACAACATAATGTAGAATTATAGGTTAAACAATCTTTGCTTCCTTTAATTAGTTTGGATAACAGTAGTAGCCTAATAGTAGCTGCAGCAGCAATAGCGTTAGTTGCCAACAGCTGTCTTGTTTTTATTTCTTTATTACCTCCACCAAGGAGGTTATGTTTTCGCCGGCGTTGGTCTGTTTTCTGTTTGTCTGTTTGTTTGTTTGTTTGTCTGCAAAATAACTCAAAAAGGTCTGAACGGATTTTGATTAAATTTTCAGGAAAGGTTGATAATGGGACAAGGAACAGATGATAAAATTTTGGTGGTGATCGGTTGAAGCAAAGTGGATAAAATAATAAAATGGCGGGAAATCCGAGCTGCTTGGCGGAGGTCTGCGCTCTGTTACAGATATGCGACGTTATTTGGCCATGGTGATCGCTGCTTGCTGTTGGTTTGCAGGACTTCTGTTTTTCTGCTGATGTTGTTTTTTTTTTTTTTTATCTATGTACACTATCTTGGTTCGTCATGTCAGAGGTAGTGAGTTTTGGAGTATAGACATTTGTTTGTTTTTGCATCTTCAGCACCAAGGACAGTGCTTAAAGTGATTTTGTTATAACCGCTGCCTGTAACAGGCTTGGAGACATCATCAGCACCAGGGACAGCGCTCAAACTACGGTTTCTGCTTTTGTCATGTGGTGAATTCTACTGTTGGTCTCCTTATGGAAAAAATGTAATAAAATTTGCATTTGTTAGAACTTCTTAATGTTTTATTTGTGTGTAGCTAATGACAGCCAGTCAGCAGCCTAGTGAGTGGCGATGTGTGATGCGCTATACAGCAGGAAAAAAAAATACAGTGATGTCACTCATTCATTCATTCAGTTGGCAGTCCCCCTACTTAAAACATCTTCCTGTGTGTGGGGAATACCAGGATGTGTTATCCAAATAAGGGCATGTATGTCACATATAGCAGATGATGTGATTTCCCGTCGATGATATAAGTGCAACTGTCCTCACAGTCCGCGTATAGAGACATTGCAGCTGTTTAGTGGTACCGCTGCTCTGTGTTTACTGAAGGGGGGAAGTTGCCTGGTCCCCCCTGAAATGTAACTTGCGGTCGGATTTTTGGGAGGTCGGACTAATACTAGGTCGGACCTTTGGGAATTTTTTCTTGTAAATCTAATTCTTTTTGTATTACGTTAAGCAAAGATATGAGAGTTTGTTACACATACTGTATAGCCTAGTAATCAGAATAAGAAAGACTATTGATCCCTGCTGGGAAGTTCTTGTTACATAAATCAAATATATGAATATTTCTGTACTTGCTTCTGTTTTTATCTGCCAGTACCTGCTTTTTCCCAGTAATTGTTTTGATTACAATAAATAGATCTGTTGTGTGAGCGGAGCGGAGAGTCAGCAGCTGGATTTTGCACTCACGGTCAGTAGTATTCATAGGTGTATAGGCAAACAAACAAACAACAACCACAACGACCATTATTCATTGTATTATTACATTTGTGGGAAGTTATTACAATAAAGATTCCCCATAAACGTAATAGATCCCTGCAAACGTAATAGTTATTACATTTGTGGGAAATCACATGTTACGTTTGTAGTAGGCAGCAGTTATTACATTTGTGGAAAATTTCTTACATTTGTGGGTTTATTACATTAAATGCTGCAGATTTTTATTACGTTTGTGGTTTATTGCGTTTGTGGACAGTTATTACATTGGCGGGCGTTACAATCCCTCTTCCAGGACGGACAGACGTGCAATAGATGTCGTACAGAACAGATCAACATAATAAATTAACAGTAATCCGTATGACACAATGAGACAGAAAGAGAGAGAG